CTCCTCCTCCTCCCCCTCCTCCTCCTCCTCCTCCTCCTCCTCCTCCTCCTTCTCCTCCTCCTCCTTCTCCTCCCCCTCTCCCTCCCCGACTCGCAACGTAACTACTCGCAAATGGCCTGGATCACCCGCGGGGGATCTACGATAAATCACATCAGAGCAGGCATGTGTTTTTCGGACTCTTGCGAATAGGCAGTTTGCGAGTAGTGGAACGCGCTCGGCGAGGGAGGGAGCGAGCGTGGAGGAGGACGCAGACCGAGGGGGCGGGGAGGGGGCGGTGGGCGACGACGATGGTGCGATGTCGACGGTGGCGGCGATGGGGACGTGGACAGTCATAGCGATGGCGACGGTGAGGGGGAGGGAGAGGGGGATAACGGGGAGGGGGCGGTGGTGATGGTGATGCTCATGGTGATGGTGACGATGACGGTGCCGGTGATGGTGATGGTGGTGGTGGGGGGCGGGGGTGATGTTCATGATGAGGATGCTGATATGAATGCTGCTGCAGCTGATGACGATGCTGCTGATGCTAATGATAATGACGATGCTGCTGATGCTGCTGCTGATGATGATGGTTGTGGTGATGATGCTGATGCTGATGTGGATGCTGGTCAGGATAATATTGATGAGAGTGATGATGGTGGTTGTGATGAAACTATTGGTGCAGTCGATGATTACTGTAATGATGGTGATGACAATGCTGATGATGCTGATAGTCATGGGACTGCTGCAGCAGACGATGGCGACGATGGATGGCGATGGTGGAGATGACTATGGTAAGATTAGGAAACAGTGACGATGGCGATGATGATGCATATCTTGATGGCGGCGGCTAGAATATTGATGTTGATGCTGGTGCGACTGCAGCTGAGGATTCTGTGTGTGAAGATGGGGATGATGGCGTTGACGACGATGATGATGAGGACGGTGTTGCTTATAAACTGTAGGATGAAGCCGATGATTAAGTTGACGGTGATGAGGAGGAGGAGGAGGACTCTGATTATTATGATACTGATGATGTGATGGACGGCGGGCTAGGGCATACACATGTTCCATCACGTGGATGAGAGGAGGGGCGGGGTATAACGTGGTGATGCTTATGTTGTGGATGGGACGAAGGATGAACAAGATCGGTAATTCTGACAGGAGAACCAGTTTTGGGAGGCCAGAGATGCTGCTGACGATGCTGATATTGATGATGCTGCTGATGATGATAATGCTGACGATGATGATTACGATGATGATGGTGATGATGATGATGATGATGATGATGATGATGTTGACGATGATGTCGACTACATTGATGATCATGTCGATGATACTGCTGCTGCTGCTGATGATGACGAGGACGCTGATGATGATGATGACGATGCTGATGTTTATTGTGATTATGCTGCTGATGTTGACGACGATGATGTCGACTACATTGATGATCATGTCGATGATACTGCTGCTGCTGCTGATGATGACGAGGACGCTGATGATGATGATGACGATGCTGATGTTTATTGTGATTATGCTGCTGATGTTGACGACAATGATGCTCCTGCTGCTGATGCAGCGGCTGCTGCTGTTGATTATGATGATTCGGATGACGATGCTGATGATGATGATTCTGATGATGCTGATGATGCTGATTATGATGATGATGATGTTGATGATGATAACGATGATGCTGATCATGCTGATGATGCTGCTGATGATGATGATTACGATGATGATAGTAATGACAATGATGAATGTGATGATGGTGATGCTGATGATGATGATGCTGTTGTTGATGATGATGATAATGATGATGATGATGATGGTGATGATGATGATGATGTTGACGATGATGACGTCTACGTTGATGATCATGTTGATGATACTGCTGCTGCTGATGATGGTGATGATGATGACGAGGACGCTGATGATGATGACGATGCTGATGTTTGTTATGATTATGCTGCTGATGTTGACGACAATGATGCTGCTGCTGATGCAGGGTTGCTGCTGCTGTTGATTATGATGATGCGGATGATGATGATGCTGATGATGCTGCTGATGCTGATGCTGATGCTGATGCTGATGATGATGATGATGATGATGATGATGATGCTGATGACGCTGTTGCTGATGATGATGGTGATGTTGTTGATGATGATGATGATGATGCTGATGCTGATGCTGATGATGATCATGATGATGATGATGATGCTGCTGCTGATGGTGATGATGATGATGATGATGATGATGATGATGATGATGATCTTGATGACGCTGACGACGACGATAACGCTGCTGCTGCTGATGCAGCTGCTGCTGCTGCGGCTGTTGATTATGATTATGATGATGATGATGATGCTGATGCTGATGCTGCTGCTGCTGATGATGATGATGATGATGATGGCGATGATGATGATGACGATGATGGTGATGACGATGATGCTGCTGATGATGATGATGATCATCATGCTGATGGCGACGACGATATTGATGAGGAGGAAGGGGAGGAGGATGAATAGGAGGAGGAGGATGAGGCGGAGGAGCAGCAGAAGGAGGAGGAAGACGAGGAGGAGGAAGATGAGGAGGATGACGAGTTGGAGGGAGAGAAGGAGGATGATAATTTGGATGATGACGAGGCGAATGCGTAACACTGAGCCGGAGGTCGACGATGATGGAACTACAATGGCGAGAAGGATAGGGGGAGGATCGTAAGGAGGAGGATGTGATGAGAAGGGGGAGGGACGCATGCTCAGGGAGGAGGGAAGCTGGAGTGTGGATGAGTGGGGAGGAGTGTGGACAGCGGGAATGCGGAGGAGGGGATTGGGGGTGAGGGACGGTGGGAGTGATATGGAGTGAGGTCGAGACAACACCAGCTTTCCGTTCGATGGATCCCGCAGGCCCGTACATAATTCCACCAGTTCGTTGACCAATATGTTGTCAGCGCGGACCCCCAAACAGATCATGCATTCTCGATGTATAGTTCCTAACGGTCCTGTCGTTGGGTCCTCGTTTGAAGAGACGGTCCCCGCGTCTCCTCCTCTCCTCTCCTCCTTCCCCTCCATGCCTCTGCCCTCTTCAGAATGCGCCCCCCCCCCCAACCAGTACATCCTTTCGTGGCCCCATATGGAGCTTCACCGAAGACCCCAGATGCTGCACACGCATGCGGGACCCCCGCCCAGTACAGCGCTTCGTGGCCCCATACGGAACCCCACCGAATGCCCAGGTGGCTGCATTCGCATGCGGGACCCCCACCCAGTACAGCGTTTCGTGGCCCCATACGGAACCCCACCGAAAACCCCAGTGGCTGCTCTCGCATGCGTTTCCCCCAGCCCAGTGCAGCGATTCGTGGCCCCATGTGGAGCTCCAACGAAGACCCCAGTGGCTGCTCTCGCATGCGGTTCCCCCCACCCAATACAGTGTTTCGTGGCCCCATACGGAGCTCCACCGCAGGCCCTTGTTGCGGTGCCCGCATGCGTCTCTCTCATCCAGTACAGCGTTTCGTGGTCCCATAGGGAGCTCCACCGCAGGCCCCAGAGGCTGCGCTCGAATGCGGTTCCCGCACGCTGTACAGCGCCTCGTGGCCCCATATTGAGCTTCACCGAAGGCCTCAGTGGCGGTGCCCGCATGCGGTTCCCCAACGCTGTACAGCGCCTCGTGGCCCCATAGGGAGCTTCACCGAATGCCCAAGTGGCTGCACTCGCGTGCGTTCCCCGCCGCCCAGCACAGCGTTTCGTGGCCCTCTAGGGATCTCCACCGCAGGCCCCAGTGGCTGTGTCCGCATGCGTTCCCCCCACCCAGTGCAGCGTTTCGTTG